AGAGAGTCAGAGATTGATAATAACTAATGATTAAATTAAATTACATCCTGAAATGTTTTAATTTTACTCGGACAGAGTAAATGTAAACATGAACAGGAAGTGTGTTGTACTATATATTTTTGTATAAATATGGATTTTGGGGTGAGTAACACTGAGGGAAAGACTATGAGAATAACAAACAAACAAACAAACACAGCTCTATTAGGTAGATGAACGTTAAGCCTGACAGATCAAATTCAATATATTATGTGTACATGCAACAATCTGTAAAGTGGGATAAAATTAAATGCATTAAAGGTGTGATAACAGCCATGATTGTTGTCATGACTGCGTGTTTATGTGCTGTTTTATGCTTCTCAGGTCCTGGAGATGATAACTCATATCCTCTGCACACAGAGAACTGCAGCGATCTATTTGGTCCAAACTACATCAAGGAACTTTCCGACTGGTCCACACATCAGCAACCACTGATGCCATAGCTGTGCACCCAAGAACTCCATCTACCTTCTCTTTGTGTTTACTTTGTGTGTTTTTTCTTTTAAGCTTTCTTGCTAACCTTCATCCGTTTCCCTCTTATTGTTTTTCTGATAAGCTAATTGCAGGAAATAGGAGAAATGCGAGAGGGCAGGGAACATTGCTCTGTCATCCTCTCTGCTGAGCATGCTGGGATGAAGATCCAGTTCCAAGCCAAGCTTTACCTCTGTCAACATTACTTATGTTTAGATTTAGTGCCTAACACTCACAGAAATGACCCCAAGCTCGCAGATCTCATTTCATCGCAGTGCAGGATCAGTTTCTGTTCGCCCGTTTCAGTGAGCTTGACTGGATGTTTAGCCAGTAAATGAAGAACAAAGAATAAACAAAGAACAAAGAATAACAATTTGTAGGTTTGTGTTTGTGAGTGGAGTTCAAATCTCACTTTACCTGCATTCACAGAAAGCTGACCCAATCTACAATACGGTGTATTCTATATCCTTGTCCATTTGTAATATGTGTGCGACTTCTACATTTGTAAATTAATTTTACTACCTTTTGAAAAAAAACTTTCCAACATGAAATACAAGTTTGTTTGTTTTTTGTATCTTTTTTAAGGCTATAGATTGGTCAGTGTGTGTTTTAGTGAATAATACCCATGTTGTTTTTTGTGTATATTATTTGTTTATATATTACATTATATATATAAATAAACCTGCTTTTACAAAATACACAAATTACACAAGGGCATGAACTTGTCAGGATTCTTGACATCCTGTGTGTATATAAAAATGAATGCAAAAAATACTGAATTTTAGTGTGTGATTAAAAAGCTGCCAAGTTTCTACTTTTTGATTTAGTTTTTTTTTTTCCACATTTATTGCACGTTGTTTACATCCTGAAATATGTGAGGAGTATGATAACTCATTGTGATTGACAAGCATCCAAAACCCAATCCTGTGATGAATAACAAGGAGCAGATGTTACATTTCTATTTTTTTAAACATCTGCTTCACCTCATTCCTTGTTGTGTTAGGAGATATGAAACCATGTAACCAATGAATACAGCTTGAATCTTCTGATCTTATCTCGAAGTTGTAATCTTGAGCACAGCTTTTAAAGTTGTAGCTTTAAATCTTGATTAAAGCTTTAAATCTTTAATCTTGAACACAGCTTTACATGTTGGAATTACTAAGCCAATATGCCATTTGTAAGAAAACGGGAGCTACTGTGCATTAATTCAACATAAAAACTAAAATTTCTGAAAACAGAGTTATCTAATTGCTATAACTGGCTAAAACCTAAAAACTTCAAACATGTGCTTTTAACAAATACATTAGTGTTTTTAATTTACACGTCTTTTTAACAGAAGACATTCGGGTCTATCACAGCAGAACAAGCAGAGTGCAAATAACACTTCACAAGAGTGCAATAAAAATACCAGATGTTGATAAAGTGAATCTGCTATCAAGGATTACTATTAGAGACATTGTATAGTTATTTATGGGTTGCCACAGCAGATCATCTACCTTCTTCACAGTCTATCCCTTACATCCTCTTCTGCCACATCAAACCTCTGCATGTCGACCTGTGCTGTTTCTGTGGATCTTCTCTTTGATTCTTTTTTGTACATACTTGTTAGATCCTTTGCCTGTTGTATCTAATATAAACCTTGACTTTCTAACTTTAGCTCCAAACCAAGGTCTCCCTCTGATGTGCTTATTTCTAATCTTGCCAATTCCCTTTTTCCAGTTCGGGATCATAGAGGGATGGAGTCTATCCTAGTTATCGTGGGACCAAATGTGTCATACACTTTGGACAGATTACACATGGAGACAGAATCATCACCTCTCACATTCAATTAACCCAACAAGAATGCCTTGGGACTGCTGGTGTAAGGTGCATGCAGGTGGAGAGAGAACATGCAAAGTCGGTACAGGCAGGCCTCAGCCAGCCAGCAGGTTTAGACTGAGAATCTTTAGCTGTGAGGTATGAGTGCTAACCACTGCATCACATATAAAAGTTGATAATCGTTTTAAATATTTATGTATAAATATTTTAAAAATTGGGTAGTTTAACAGTTAGAACATTTAATAGAGCAATCTCTGGCTCATTTTGTCTAAACTGTGAAATACCTTTGGGCAACATATTGAACCCTGAGATGCCCTTGATGTATTCATCACAGTGCGAGTCTGCCTGTCAGTGTTAAACAAACCGATAAGAAATAGATAAAAGTGCTACATAAATGTGTGCGTAATTGCGTGAATGAGACTTTGAGCGCTCAAAATTAGTTGCTATCAGTATCATGCAAGCATCGGGAAATGTCAGCCACTAATTGCCCGACTTTTGTTAATAAGGTTCCTCTTTGCAGCATTCAACACTCAAATGTATTAACAATCTAAAAGTATATCCAAGTATGCTCCACGGGCAGTATTTCATTCTGGGGTGAGAACTCTTACTGTAAAATTCTACTAGATTTATATAAAGTAAAATTTTGTATTGTATTAAAAATGTATCGTCTTTGTTACACTGATGCTTTCACTGCTTTCCTCTTAAAAATGAAAAGATGGAATACACATTTGGTGAAACATCAACGTATAACATTTATTGGCTTATTCTGAAAATGCAATAAAGGAAAGATGATTTTCCCTTTAAAGTGAGAACTACACATTAGGCAGATTCTGAGGGTGGGCGGGGTGGGGGTGGGGGATTTTGCCAACTACACCTTTCTTGTAATATTATACAGAAATATATGAATCTGAGAAAGCGTGGAGCCATCACTTTTATACATCATGTAATAACAGTGTCATCATAAAATAAGCCCTGTGACAGGAATCCAAACACAAAACTGTTAAGTCACATTCAAACAGTCCACTGGCACAGCCTGCTGGTCACATAATGTACTGCAATCCAAGTATGACTGCACATTCTACAGCATTTATCCCAGAGCTGGAAAACAAACAAACAAAAAACAAAAACGTGTACATGTATGTGGATCCATCTGCACATAGGAATAACTACAGAAACACAGATGTTTGTTACAATGTTTCAACCTGATGAATCTTAAATCTGTCCGGGGTTATGGGCAAAGTACTTGCAAGAAGTCTTAAGGCTGATATAAGAAATTTGACAACATCAATTAAATGTATTCTATGATTTGAAGTACCAACATCAAATGAGACGTTTTCTTTGTACCATAGAAATTTTGACAATAGCACTCATTTAACACCAATCTACATGCTCGACTTAATACATTCAACACATTTTGTCGCTGAAATAGTCAATCAATATGATGTACAAAGAGGACAAACAATGACATTTATTAGGTCCAGGCCTGCTGGTTTGCTCAGCACTTTTGATCTTTCTGCTTAGATTTTTTTTTTTTTTTTACTTAAGATGGACCCTAATTCAGAAATTTGGACAACAACAATAATTCCAAGGGAAAAAACAAAATCAAAAAGACATTCTAGTCTGATCACTGACATGACTGACAACTAGAATAACCAGGCAATAAGATCTGTTTTTATTTATTTTTCCCCAAATAGGAAAATTATGTGCTTGAAGGTTAAAAACACTGGCAAACTGTGAATAAAGTAATGTCCAAGACGGTCAGGTGGCGTGTTAATACTTTTAGTAAAAAATTATTATTTTTTTTGAAACAAAATAAGGTTATATGTAGCAATAATTCAAAACAGAAGCAACATAAGCTCAAACACTGCGACAAAGGTGGGTCACATGTGGCTGGAAGTCATCAAGCTGCATTTATCAGCTGTAACAGTCATGGCAGGTTAGTTTAAGAAAAAGGACAGCATTATCTGTGGCAAATTCTCTTCTTCTTCTTAAAAAAACAAAACAAACAACCCCCCC